TGGTTAGCAGCTGAGCACTTAACCATTGTGCCACCAGGGTTCCTCATACCAAAGAGAGCGTAATTAAAAGTACATGTTTAAGGTGTTGGTGTTTTAGGTCCAGATAGTTTTAGGAATTTTTATGTCTAGTCAAAATTAGATCTCTCTTCTACAGAGAATCTGAATATTCTTGGGGTGATGGGTTAAATCCCGCTTTGCTTATGGGCCCTCCAAATAAAGGACAGATGCAGAGAGCAAGACACAGACAGGAAGTGTACTTCACTGGAGGACACTTCACAGTCATCCTCACTGTGGTTGGGAACAGGAGCGTGCCACAGTCTCTTTTATTACTCTTCGCAGTAGCAGCAACAGTACTACTAGTAGTAGCAGCAGTACTCGTAGAAGTACTAGTGGCAGTAGCAGCAGCAGTACTAATAGTGGAAGTAGCATCACTACTAGTAGCAACAGTGGTAGGAGTAGTAACGGTGCTAATGGGAGTAGTAGTAGTGGCGGCATTGAGAGCAGTCCTCGTGCTAGTAGCAGCAGCACTGATTGTAGTAGTAGCACTGATAGTACTAGTGGTAGTAGTAGCAGCGGTACTAATAGTGGAAGTAGCATCACTAATAGTAGTAATAGTGATGGTAATAGTAGCAGTATTAATAGTAGTAGTGGTAGCAGAAAGAAGGTCAAAGAAGAATCGACACCTTTGAATTGTGGCGGTGTTGGTGAAGAATACTGAATATACCATGGACTGCCAGAAGATGGGACAAATTTGTCTCTGAAGAAGTACGGCCAGAACGCTCCTTAGAAGCGAGGATGGGGAGACTTCCTCTCACATACTTTGGACATGTTGTCAGGAGGGACCAGTCCCTGGAGAAGGACGTCATGCTTGGTAAAGTGGAGGGTCAGTGAAAAAGAGGAAGACCCTCAACGAGATGGACTGACACAGCGGCTGCAACAATGGGCTGAAACACAGCACCGATTGTGAGGATGGCGCGGGACCCGGCGGTGTTTCGTTCTGTTGTCCACGGGCTTGCTAGGAGTCCGAGCTGACTCGATGGCACTAGCAGCAGTACTAATAGTAGTAGTAGCAGCAGCACTGGTAGAAGTACTAGTGGTAGTAGTAGCATCAGTACTAACAGTAGTAGCAGTAGCATGGATAGTCGCAATAGTGATAGTAGCAGCAGCACTAACAGTAGCAGTAGTAGCAGTAGCACTGATAGTAGTGTCAGGGGTAGTAGCAGCAGCAGCACTAATAGCAGTACTAGTGGTAGTAGCAGCAGCAGCACTAATAGTAGTAACAGTGCTAGTAGCAGCAGTACTAATAGTAGTGCCAGTAGTAGTAGCAGCAGCAGTACTAATAGTGCCAGCAGTAGTAGCAGCAGCAGTACTAATAGTAGTACCAGTGATAGTAGCAGCCGTAGTACTAATAGTGCCAGTGGTAGTAGCAGCAGCAGTACTGATAGTACCAGTGGTAGTAACAGCAGCAGTACTAATAGTAGTAGCAGTGATAGCAGCAGCAGCAGTACTAACAGTGCCAGTGGTAGTAGCAGCAGCAGTACTAATAGTACCAGCGATAGTAGCAGCGGCAGTACTGATAGTACCAGTAGTAGTAACAGCAGCAGTACTGATAGTAGTAGCAGTGATAGCAGCAGCAGCAGTACTAACAGTGCCAGTGGTAGTAACAGCAGCAGTACTAATAGTAGTAGCAGTGCTGATAGTACCAGTGGTAGTAACAGCAGCAGTACTAATAGTAGTAGCAGTGCT